TACTACTACGACGACGACGACGACGACGACGACGACTGCTACTACTACTCCTCCTCCTACTCCTCCTACTCCTACTACTACTACTACTACTACTACTACTACTACTACTACTACTCCTTCTACTACTACTACTACTACTACCACCACTACTACTACTCCTGCTGCTACGACGAAGACCTACTACTACTACTACTGCTGCTGCTGCTACTGCTGCTACTACTACTACTACTACTGATGCTGATGCTAGTACTAGTCACTAGGCCCCACATGTGTTGTGGAGGCTCGTGTGGGCAAGATGAACGGGGGGTATATTGGCCTAGGGCCTAGGGTGGGCCTGTCACGGGAAAGCACAAGCCGCAACAGCCGCGATCTCATGCCTATCCGAGAGTCGGCACTCACTGACCGGTCTTGGCAGAACCACTCCAGCTGTGTAAACCGCTTGCCATACGTTCTCCCGATTTACGCGGCGAGTTATCTCCTGCATCAGCCGCCGTGATGTTTTTTGCTTAGACTGCCGCATGTTGTTTTGCTTGATAAAACTAGGAAGCGCAGTCAATGCATGGGGTTGCCACATGGGTTTCTTCCGCACCTTGATAAGAACTGGAGCCAACCTTTTGGAGCGCAACTTCTTGTGCACGCAGAGGAAGTTGATTTCGGCCATCTGGACAACTTTGTCGAAAACCTGTTTGCCAGAGACCCACTGTGCCCAAAAACCGAGATGTGAGACCTATAAAGATGTCGAAAAGTCCGCCGGCCTGAATGTTGGCAGGGATTCCGGTGATGAAGCCGACGAGCCTCGATCCATCGGTTCTCTCGGGCCCGCTTGGGGGGAAAAGATGGGAAGAGACGGTCACCTTACATGCAATTAAAGTCACTTGCCACCACCTTTGACACGAACGCCCAAATGCCAGTTCCTGCAAGGACGCTGCACCATGCAAGGCCCATCCGGGCTCAAACAGCTCGCCTATATGCACCGCAGCAAATTCCTTTTCACCAACCCTGTCCTCAAGTACTCTGGTGGCTTCAAAGCCCATCGCAAAAAGTCCGTGGAGTAGTCGAAGCGAAACATGCTGTCCTTATGAATGGTTGCAACGGAAAATTATGACGGCATCTAGTCTAGCTGCAATGTAGCCTGGTCCAGTCCATGACTGCATTGCGACGGCTAGCCGTTCCCGACAGCTGAACCCATCCAAAAGTCATCATCTTCCACGTAGTTCTCCGTCAAAAGCGTATACACCTCCAGGATCTCAGTCTCCGAATCCACATCGCCTGTCATTTCCAACTGTTTCATGTCGATTTCTACTTTGAGAAACAGCCGATTCCCAGGCAAAATTTAGAGGAGTGGCAGGTGCACCA